GTGAATTAATTTGATCCATCCATCTAGGATGATCAATGGCTAAAAAAATAGACTTAATTTTATAAAGGAATAAGGTTCAAATTGGCCACTGAACGTAACCTGAAAATGCAATTAGGTCACTGAACGAAAAAAAAAAAAAAAGTGCAATTAGGCCACTGAACACTCCAAAAATGTGCAATTTCACTTGATAGCAGGGTACCCTCAATTTAAGCAGGTTATCTGCTTACGTGGCAGCTGAGTTGGCATTTTTAATAAATTTTAATTAATTTTTAATAAATTTTAATAATAACTTTTTATTAAAAAAAATTAAAAATAAAAACGACTTTATTTAATTTTTTATTTAATTTTTTCTAATTTTTTATAAAATTTATTATTAAAATTAATTATTAAAAATTATTGAAAAATTATTAAAAATGTCAACTAAGCTACCACGTAAGCAGGTAACCTGCTAAAATTGATGGTAACTTGCTATCTGGTAAAATTGCATATGTTTAGAGAGTTCAGTGGCCTAATTGCACATTTTTTGAGTGTTCAATGGCCTAATTGCACTTTTTTTCGTTCAGTGGCCTAATTGTATTTTCAGGTTACGTTCAGTGGCCAATTTGAACCTTATTCCTTTTATAAATATTAGTATAAGAGAATCAACTTAGAAATTCTATGCATCTATTTCTTTAATGTAACAAAACTAATTAGACCAAATCTGTTTATTTTTGCAAACTAGCGGCAATTAATAACTCAATTGCACATAAAACACTACGAACAAAAAAATAAGCAAACAAATAATGAAGATGAAGACAATAACAAACCTATTCAAAAGCGAATTAACAAAACTTAGTGTAATTCCAACCAAAAGTAATATATATTACCTAATACCATACCAACTACAATAAGTATTTAGATAACTGTTTTTAGAAAAGTGTAAATTAAACATTAATTTTAATGACAAGAATTTTTCATATATAATCTTGTATTAATATATTTTTGAATTATTTATATAAATACAAACATTGAGCATTAAACTAGTTGTGTGATGCACGTGTAAAACTAGTTATGGAGTAAAATTATTATGTCCGATGTAGATTGAGCCTAGATCAGTCATATATGGGCTTAATCGGCAATTGCATTTCTATTATTTGTCGTTATCAATTATAAAAGTAGACGTCGTCTTCAAGTTAATTAGCTAACAAACTTGGAATTTATGTGCAATGATAAAATGCTAAGCATTAAAACTTTTTAGTGAATATAAACAGTACTTAAAAAGTTTTTTTTTTTCTTTAAAAAAAAAAGTACTTAAAATATTCTTTAGAAAAGGACTAATATATTTATGATATTTTACTTTTCAAAAACAAGTAATTATAAATAAATATTATAGCAACTCCATCTCACATGTAGTTTAATTATAAAAGTACAGTAGAGTTATCAATGTCAATTTTTTTTTTTTAATTATCAACGACTAGTAAATTTATGTTGTGGCAAAAATTTGTGTGAGAACATCTCGCGGATCATTGTTATTGAGACGGGTCGAGTACTCGAGTTGTAGACAACTGGGTAAGTATTCACAATTTCAGTTATAAGTATTACAATATTTATCATTAGTAACAATTATTTTGCCTTAAATATTATCACAATTTCACATATAAATATTACAATATCTATTATATAAAAAAAAAAGTTTATTTATTTTAAATTGGTGTTAAATTTTCTGTAATAAATATTTTAATTTCTATCATAAGTAACAAACAACTATTTTAGATTCGACCCGCCTTACGGATTAAAATCTATGAGACTGTCTCGCACAAGTGTAACTCATGTATGTTACGTTATAGTCCCTATTATAAAGTTGTCAATCTCTCTTTCTACATTATTGATTATCAATTGACGATTATTCAAACATGTTGTATTTAGTTCATTATCTGTGAATTATTATACAATGGACCAGGGTCCACCTTACAAGATGAATTATTGAAATAATATACATTTTTAATAGGGAAAATTGTACTTTTTCCCCCTGAGTTATATACTTATAGCACTTTTTCCACCTTAATTATTTAGGTAAGCACATTAGCCCCCTCAATTATTCTAAAAGTGGTGTTTTTCCCCCCCTGATATATTAAATTGACATTTCTATTCTTAAAGTAAACATTTTATTTATTTTACTTCTCCAACAAATTATTGCGTATACGTAGGGATGACCACGGTTCGGTTTGAACTGAACCGGACACTAAAGCAATCGAATTAAAAGTATCCGGTTATGATTCAGATTTAAACCCAATATTTAGATGTCAATTTATTAAAATTATGTATAAAAAATTTGAATCTTGAACCGTAAACCGGCAGTTCTGGATCCGGTTCATGATTTTGAACTGTCTTTATTTTAAAATTTTAGTTTTTATTTTAAAATAGTCTAAATTTAACAATAAATGTATTTCATTTTTTTCAGTTCGGAACATGAACAGTCTGTTCTGGTTCACGATTTTAATAAACTCTAAATATCGAGTTTCGATTCAAAATTGTAATTGGAATATTTCGGTTTGGTTGCTATAGTGTTTGTTTGGTTTGAACCAAATTATGGTCATAATTTGTTGGAGAAAAAAAATAAATGAATTATTTATTTTAAGGGTAAAAATGTCCAATTAACATTTCAGGGGGGGAAATAGCCACTTCAATAATTCAGGGCCGGGGGAAAAAATGCTATAGGTATATAACTCAGGGGAAAAAGTGTCATTTCCCCTTTTTAATATATTAAATATACATTTTAAATACATTAAATGTTCATTTTTTAAATACATTATTTGAATACTGAATATTCATTATTTAATATACTACCAAATATTCAAATAATGTGCCTTCAGAATATTGAAAAATGAATATTTATTCATGGTACAAAATATACTTTGCCATTTGTTGTCATAGACATTTCTCTCTCTCTCTCTCTCTCTCTCTCTCTCTCTCTATATATATATATATATATATATATATATATATATATATATATATAGATTTTGGTTCTTATGAGGTCAGGTCTTCCCGTGCGGTCAGTACGGCATACACCATTAGGTATGCATAAATGCACCATACAGTGTTCGAAAATATATCAGAATGAAATGCCAAAAAATGCACCACACAAAAAAAAAAAAAAAAAAAAAAAATACACCACACATAATGGTGAATTTACGAACACTGTGTGGTGCATTTATGCATACCTAATGGTGTATGCTGTACTGACCGCACGGGAAGACCTGACCTCACAGGAACCTGACCATATATATATATATATATATATATATATATATATATATATATATATATATATATATTACTTTTTTTTCTGTTTCAAAAGAGATTTAAAAAAGAAAAAAAGTAGATGAGAATAGAGTACGTCCACTATACTGAGCTTAACAACCACCCTTAGCTTTATCTTAAGTCACGAGAAAGGATACGAAAAGAGACAAAGGTGGAAGACAAAGCTGAAACTGAAATGATCTTACCCAATAATTATAAATAAATAAACATAGAAATAGGTTCGTTATTTTTCTAGGCTACTATACACCTTGATGTGAAATCTACCTATAGGTCAAGAAATAGGTTTGTAGTTTTGACGTACTAACAATATAATGATGCCTTTCTTCTCATCCTTAGTTCTCCCAAGACAACCTACTTCTTGTGCTACTCTTTTGTTCTTTTCTTATATTTTCTTGTTTTCCTTTTGATTTTGTGTCCCTTTGGATGTTAAAGGTGATACATTCGTATCCACGCCTCTTGACTTGTGAGTAGAAGAAACAACACAATATCAAGACATAGTAGCTAGAGAATGCAATATAATCTATAATATAAATTGAAACTTTACCTAATGACATGATTTGAATGTTGTACTTATATGATTTATTGAGTTAAGTTAATAATGTTTGAGTGAGACAATTTTAATATACCATTAGTATGTACTGATAGTGTATTTAGATCTGGATTCTATACAGTATGTAACATGCATGTTAATTAGGTAGAATACAAGTATGATTGAGATATAGTGTAGAAGATGTATTATTATTATTATTATTATTATTATTATTATTATTATTATTATTATTGTTGTTGTTGTTGTTGTTGTTGTTGTTGTTGTTGTTGTTGTTGTTGTTATTATTGTTGTTATTGTTGTTATTGTTGTTATTGTTGTTATTATTATTATTATTATTATTATTATTATTATTATTATTATTATTATTATTAAAGAGTACAATTTTTTTTTAAAGAGTTCAAGTACAAAATCGTAAATATACAAGAACCTCGAGAGGCTTTGCTAGGTTGGAAAGTATACTAGAGAATAAGAAAATCAAACCCCTCTAGAGTGATCTTTATTTATAATAGTGAAGTAGGGAGTTCAATGCCAAAATCTCTTGCACGATAGGAATGGTGGTTCAATTTAATTGTGATACGTGTTGGACAATGATATGATGTTTAGAGTAGCCTACGACATCAGAATTGACATGTTCTCCTAGGCACATGGTCTCATTGACTAGTTTTCAGACCTGAAGTTGGGAAACACCCAGGTCTGATAAGAACTTGGGTTATTACGTTAGTAGTCATGTTGTATAACCCCATCCAGCCACGTAGACGAAGGGGACCCCTTCGTCTCCGGCCAGCAAGGAGACGACGGGCTCCCTTTGTCTCCGGCAAGCCAGGAGACGAAGGGGATCCCTTCGTCTCCGGCAGTCAGTTTTTTTTTTTTTTTTTTTTTTTTAAATTTTAAAATAATTTATTATTTAAAATTATTAAAATAAAAGTTTAAAAATTATTTTTAATTTTGTAACCAACACAACAGGTAAACAAGTCATTTTTGGTGAAATTGCATGAATTTGTGTAGTTCAGGGACCTAATTGTTGCTTTTTTGAGTTGGGTGGCCTATTTGACCATTATTCCTTGAATAAATTATCGAAAAAATGGTCAAATAAGTCCCTAAAGTTTATTTAAAAAGTCAATTAATTGAGGAGATGAGAGGAAGAGTTTTACCATTTTCGCCTTGAAAGCTGGAGAGAGAGATCAAGAGGAATAGAGGATTGCATCTGGAAGTTGGGCGTTTCGTCATTATTAGGCTTCGGGAGAGCATTATTATTATTAGTATTATTTTTCTTCTTCTTGTAGGGGATTCCTTGGGCCTTAGACTGAGCGTCTCTGACTTCACGGAGGTAGAGGCGGATGGCGTTGTCGGCGAAGGGATTTCTCTCCGACAAGCCGCCGTTCTCCTCGAAGGCAGCGCGTAAGTGTCCGATGAGCGCATTCAGGCTGCCCCACGCTTGGCGAAGGGGACAAGTGCCGGGCCCCGCCGGCTTCGGCTCCCCGAAGTACACGCAGCCTTGTAAGTGAACCTTAGTCTTCCCGAACTCAGGGCCGATTTTTAAATTTTTGTGGCCCTGTTTGAGTAAATAAATAAGGCCCTACCAAAATTAAAATGTTTAAAACAAATACCGTAATTTTATTATCAAAATATATAACACAAAAGATTTATCCGTGCATCGCACACACACTGCACGGATAATGGGCAATTATTTGCTCGAATTCAAGCAAGGATAACATAAAAAACATATTCGATACAACCTATTTCATCAATTGCACTATATAATATTCGTTGTTATAATTTAAAGATTATAACAAATCTTTTCCGTGCAACGCACAAGTAAAAATAGACATATTATGGAATAATAATAATAGTGTGCACAAGTTTTGAACCTTAGACCTCAAAGTTAAAATACAATAAATACATGTTCCTACCATTTTTTTATAAAGCCTTTTAGGTTTAAATAAAAACATTTAATTTTTATTACTATACTAACTAGGTAAAAATAAAATATTGAGCTTCTAAAATTTGGGGCCCCTCTAAAATTTGGGGCCCTCTGCTGTAGCCCAGCTTGCACAGCCCAAAATCCGGGCCTGCCCGAACTGGTCGAGGCACCGGAGGAAATCGATGACATGATTGTAATTGCAGAGGGGAAGTGGGACCGGCGGCCGCTGGTTCTTCAAGTACAGCCCGAACGTGTTCCAGTCGCGGCGTTTTTGCGCCTCATAGCGGCTGAGCTGAACCGGCGGATGAGGCGGCACCACCGCCGGTCTCCAAGACGACGACGACGACCCCTCCCCTAACTCCCTCCCTTGATGATCGCCGGATGACATCATGATTGAAATTAAAATTTGAAATGATATGATTTCTAACAGTGAATAATACGAAATAGCCCACTAAACTTTTAAAAAGTGCAATTACACACTTTAACATGGTACATTGAGGTAATGAACTCCAAAAATCGGTAAATAGTCTACTATTAGAACTCATTAGGGTTCCAGCATCTATTTTATCCATCTCCAGCGACGGTCGAACCGTCGCCGACCACCGTCTACCAGAAAAGGTGACCAGTTGGTCACCTTCTCCCACGGAAACGACCAATTGGTCGCTTTACACCTTCCCCGGCAGAGCGACCAAGTGGTTGCTTTATCCGACGGAAGGCAACCGCTAGTCGCCTTCTCTGAGATGAGAAGGTGACCACTAGCCGCCTTCTATGAGATGAGAAGGTGATCAGTTGGTCACCTTCCATGGAGAAGGCAAACTGTTCGCCTTCTCCATGTAAGGTGCCAACTACTCGCTCCATTGGGGAAGGCAGCTAGTTGGTCGCCTTCCGCCAAAAAAGGCAATCAACTGGTCGCCTTCTTCGGTAGACGGCGACTGGCAACAGTTCGATCGTCGCCCGCCGCCGGATTGTCATCGGAGATGGATAAAATTGATGTTGGAACCCTAATGACCTCTAATAGTATGTCATTTATCGATTTTTGGACTTCATTGCCTCAATATTACATGTTAAAGGGTGTAATTATACTTTTTAAAAGTTTAGAGTGCTAATTCACTTTTCAGGTAAAATTTAGAGGCTTATTTAACCCTCTTCCCTAAACTATCTTCATCCTATCATTTTATGTGCAAGTACACACATTTGTATTTTAAAAAAATAAAATAAAATTGCCATGGTTTATCTCATAACTATGACAAAATTAATTTCGTTATTCTAGAGTTAAATAATAATAATAATAATAATAATAATAATAATAATAATAATAATAATAATAATAATAATAATAATAATAATAATATACAAATTATATATTGAATTTATATGTTAGTTATTTCAATTCCTAAAATATAAATATCAAATTTATAGAAATGTTTTACATTATTATTATTATTATTATTATTATTATTATTATTATTATTATTATTATTTATAATAATATTAATATCTAAAATCTAAATAAATTTAAGATTTTAATATAAAGTACTAATATTGGGCACCCATTTTTTTGTTGCATCACGCATAGAAAATACTGGTAATAATAATGATGATGATGAGTTTTCCTAAAAAGATTTTTCACACAAATTATGTCATGAGATTTGGCTTACTATGTTTAGTGAACTTGGCATTAGTGATTGAGTGAGATACAATTTCAATCGTTTGAAAAGATAATAAGCAGCATGCATTCATTTGATACACAGACACAACTATGTAGCATTTTTAACACTTATCTCATAAAACGTTAGGCCACGCGAGACAGTCTTCAACTTATCTGGAAGAAACTTTAAGGCAAGATGTGACCAATGCCTGGCCTGTTAAAAACGTTTGCCATTTGATCATTGAGCCATATATATATATATATATATATATATATATATATATATATATATATATATATATATATATATATATATTTTTAAGAGTAGGTCTGCCTCTTATGAGATTCTTCTAAATTATGTGCATGATCATTCTGACTACGTTTTCTATATTTTTTGAACATAATTCCCATTTTTTTATGTTTTTGTATAAATTGCTCTCATGGAGTCATGGTATATCCTTTATGAGGTGTAGTGTTAAACCAATCATTATTTCAAGGACCATGGTCCACACATTTGTGTGAACCATAAATAAAAAGTATATTTTTAATATACTAAAAGTGCATTATTTATATACATAAAATATAGTATTTGGAAATACATGTTTTTGTTTATATATTATCAAATAATGTATATTTAGTACACAAATAATATACTTTTAATATATTAAAAATATATATTGCATTCATGATCTACACAATAATTTGCCGTGGAACTGGAAACCACCCTAAAAATTGCACAATTGCACGGGTCACTACATTGCTTGAAAATAAATTTGAAGTTGAAATTTATGGGCCAGATCTGGTTACTGTTGGACCAGCTTAAGATGAACTATTGAACTTATAATGTCTGGGCTTTATTTCTGGGCCAGCTAAACCAATACTGCGCCATAATGAAAGCCCAATTGGTAGATATTGGCAAATTTTACTGTGAACCATTGTCCATGTAGCAGTGTGGAGTGTAGACCATGAAGTAGGTATCATTCTAATTATACTTTGGTTTTATTTGATAATATTGTTCTACTTTTCAATTTTATTTTCCAATTTTCACACATATTGGTTTCATTATAGCAATACCAAAGTATCATTTTAATTTTGAGTTAATACCCAAAATCGTCCTCGACTATAGTGGTTTTTCTCAATTTCGTCCTAAACGACTTTGGTGACCTAATATCGTCCCAGACTTTTGTGTTTTGCTCAATTTAGTCCTCCATTTGTTATTCCGTCAAATTGGTGTTAAATTAAGGGACAATTCAGTAATGTCAATATTGATCTCTCTTTACTTTCAACTTGTGAAGTTTGAAATTCCTCTTTCTTGTACGAATTACACTCAGAATTACTCCCGGACCTGCAAATCAAATTTTATATTTGCAGTTTTAGGAGTAATTCTGGGAGTACGTAAAAAAAAATGGATTGCAGTTCACATGTCTATGAGTAAAGAGATGCCAATATTAAAATTACTGAATTGTCTATTTATTTAACACCAAATGGACAGAATAACAAATGAGGGACTAAATTGAGCAAAAACACAAAAGTCTAGGACTAAATTGAGCGAAACACAAAAGTCTGGGACGATATTAGGTCACCAAAGTCGTTTAGGACGAAATTGAGAAAAACCACTATAGTCGAGGACGATTTTGGGTATTAACTCTTTTAATTTTAGTACAGTTTCATTTGACAATATACATTATTGCATAAGTTCTGTTTTCTAGTTTCATTTTCCACACTCACTAGTTTAATTATAGTAAAGTTGATGTATTTTTTTTATTTTTTTTTGGTATACCCAAGTTTCAACTGTCGGACACAGACTAGTCCCCTCCCTGGTGTATTATTTTAATTATACTATATTTTAAAGCTGATGTACTATTTTAATTACACTTCAAGTTCATTTGACAATACATATTATTGAATGGCTATAAATTTTAGTTTCATTTTCCAAACACACTAGTTTTATTATAGTAGCACTAAAGTATCATTTTAATTGTCAATGAACTTGTAGTCTAGTGACACCAAGTTGCTCTCCCATATGGGAAGTTGTGGGTTCAAGCTTGTGGAGGTGATATTCACTCTTTGTGCTTCAGATTTTGCATTATATATTTATAACAGAGTTAGTAGTATTAAAAAAAAAAAAAAAAGTATCATACTATAATTTCATTTGACAATATACATTATTGAATTAGCTCTGTTTTTTATTTTCATTTTCCACACACTAATTTCATTATAGTAATACTAAAATATCATCTTAATTCTACTATATATTTTGCGAAAAAAAAAATGTCTCAATTACACATATTTTGCACGTTTGATATTCAGTTACACATTTTTTTAATTTTTTTGACCTAATTGCATAAAAGTAAAAAACGATAAGTTCAAAGACGAATTTAATACTTTTTCCTTTTAATTTAACTTTTTAAAGTTCATGAACACAATTACTTTTCCATATAAAATTCAAAACCTAAGTGGTTTTCCAAAAACAAATTAAGAGATTATAGTTGGTTTCACCAATAGTAAACATAGACAATTTAAACAAGAAAAAAGAGAGTATAAATTAGTAAATATTAACTTTGTAAAAGTGACACATTGTTCTTCAATTCCTCTCTTCTTTTCATATTTATTCTTAACTATGTACAGCAATATGGAAGAACACATCACAGCTGTGTTAATTGCTTCAAGCCTTCAATCTAAAATTTAACCTAAAATAATGTCATGAAACTTGTCATTCCATTCATGCAAAGGGTTAAACTGATTGACTTCCTGCGAGAACTGCAACCGAGAATTGGTGAGGGAATGTTAACCGAGCAGCACAGATGCAGACGTGCAGGGCGAAAAACAGACCGACAGACAGACAGACATTGTACGACCAAAATCATCAGTTCTCGAACTGCAGAACTAAGATGGTTGTTGAGAAACAACTCTGAGTGTCCCGCCAAGCTCCACAGGAACGAGGGGTATAAGCGAATGCAAGACGTCTGTTATTAATGGACGATAGCTTGGCTCTGGTTGAACGCAGAGCACAGCAACTGCAGCCACCTACACAAAGAGATGATCGCGTCATTTCTCTTTAACATACATGTAATCTCATCCACCTAAGAATTGAAGCATGTGCTCCATTGCTGAACACGCCCCTTCACGTGTGCGGGCTGATACTTTTGATGGGCTCCAAGCAACACGTGGACCGTAGTCTCTTTTTTTATCGGGTGGCATTGGTCTGGCTCTAATAGCAAATTGAAGCATGTGCTCCATATGACCATCTCAGCTAAAAACCTAAGCTGATAGTTGGATTGCACATTTATGTTTATGTTATATTATATGCTCAACACTAAGGAACCATATAACATATGGAGTAATAACAAAGCATAACGAGAAAGCAAGCAAGAGCCAAATACCTATTAAAGTTCTTCAAATGCAATATAGATGAAATGGTAAAACATTTAATTTGCGTTTATCGTTTTCCAACAAACCTGGAATAGGTGCTTGATATCCATCGTATCTTTGATCACAGGATCGACAATGTTGGGAAGCTTCGATCTGTCTGTGAGCTGAGGCATCGCCTGCATTCCATAAATACTAAAGCATTGGGATAAAATCTAAAAAGTTTATTCAAATCGATGCCCAAAAGGGATGACAAGAACTCAAGTACATATATAGGACCCAACACAATTCCTACCCATGTGACAATAGACTGGCATTGAGCTGGTGCCAATTTCTCCACCGGCCTTTTTCCTAGTAGAAGCTCCAAAAGTACA